GAGAACCACCTGAAGTCTAGCTAAACAGAAGTCCTATAATGAAAGATATACAGAAGAAGCCAACTCAAGACTGGTAGGAGGGGTGGAGATACAGAATGGGCTGGTCCCACACCATGAGTAGTGGTTAAAAATCAGAGCGGCAACTTGGCTATGGAGGTCCCTCCTGAGGAATGAGAGCTCCCAGGCTCCCTAGCCAGAGTTCCAGTTCCAGGAAGATAAGTCCCCATACCTCTGACTGTGAAAACCAGTAGAGAATGTAGCTGAGTGAGACAGAGCACTGCTGGAATCCCAGATGTTCCTTTTAAAGGACCTGCACACAGATTTATTGATGGACTCACTCACTCTGAGCTCCAGTGATGGGGCAGCAGTTTGAAAGGTGCCACAGACGTTCAGGGAAGAACTGAACTATCTGGCTTCCGAGCAAGGGCTAAAGGGGCAGCCTTCTCTCAGACAGAAGTGCAGACTCAAGGGGGCACCATATCTGAGTCTCCATCAACTTGGCTAACTCTATTCGCCCTACCCTGGTGATTCTCTGAGACCCACTGCACCTAACCTGCAGGCTCACCAAAGCTGCCTCCAGTGGCTTTTCCATACACATGACCTGTCTTCCTATGCTGTAGACTTTCCTAAAACCTCTCAAAGGTTCGCAAACTCCAAACAAGCAGCATCTGGTTTCAGCATGTCTTATACCTCTTTGCCAAGTAGCCCCAAGCCCAACACTAGTGGCTGCCAGACTTAGCTTGCAGCTTAGCCTCTCCCAGGCACTTTTAAGCTCAACACAAGTGGCATCTATCTGCAGATGACTTTGTAACTTCATACTAAGTGACCCAGGCAGGCACAGTCAACGGCTGACCTACAATAGAGCTCCTCCTAAGAGGCTCCAGAACTAACACACTCAGTGGCCAGTTTCAGACCATACCAGAGCATACCACCCAGCTACCTCTACAAATGACATGCCTGGGCAGACTGGGCAGGCTGCAGAGCCCCGCTAAAGCAAACCCTGCTCCATAAGGTCAGGCCCTGCACAATAGCTTCTCCACTATAATCAAAGCCAGTCCTCACAACCAGTCAGCTTGAGGGTCATTCCCTTCCAATGACATGCAAACAGCAACCAAGGCTCAACTAAAACAGGAGGGCACACACAATTCACACAAGGGACACACCTGGAGTACCTGGCTCAGGTGACTAGGGAGACTGTGCCACTGGGCCCTACAGGACACCTACTACATAAGGCCACTCTACCAAGACCGGGAGACATAGCAGCTCTACCTAATACATAGAAGCAATAACAGGAGATATGGTACAGGAGATAAACATGTTCTATATGAAAGAACAGAACAAAGATCTAGAAAAAGAACAAAATGGAGACAAGCAATCTACGCAATGCAGAGTTCAAAACATTGGTTCTAAGGATGCTCAGTCATCTCAGTGAAAACTTCAACAAAGAGATAAGAAACATAAAAATAGAGATATAAAACAACAAAGAACCAGTCACAAATGAAGAATACAGTAACTGAAATGAAGAATACATAAAAGAGATTAGATATTTAGATGAAGCAGAGGATTGAATCAAAGATTTGGAAGATAAGGTAGCAGAAAATACCCAATCAGAACAGCAAAAAGAAAAAAGAATGCAAAAAAAATGAGGATAGTTTAAGAGGCCTCTGGGAAAACAACAAGTGTACCAACATTCATATCATAGGGGTACCAGAAGAAGAAGAGAGAGAGCCAGGAATTGAAAACCTATTTGAAGACATAGTGATGGGAAGCTTCCATAACCTGGTGAAGAAAATAGACATACAAACTCAGGAAGTGCAGAGAGATCCAATAAATAGGAAACCCAAAGAAACCCACACTAAGACACATCATAATTAAAATGCTGAAGGTGAAAGAGAGAATCTTAAAAGCAAGAGAAAAGCAGTTACCCACAAGGGAGATCCCATAAGACCATCAGCTGATTTCTCCATAGAAACTCTGCAGACCGGAAGAGATTGTAATGAGATATTGAAAATGATGAAAAGCAAAGACCTATGACCAAGAGTACTCTACCCAGGAAACTTATATTTGAAATTGAAGAAGAGATAAAGAGCTTTCCAGAGAAGCAAAAGCTAAGGAATTCATCACCACCAAACCAGTATTACAAGAAATGTTAAAGGGACTTCTTTAAGAAGAGGGAAGATCAAAAATATGAATAATAAAATGGCAATAACTACATATCTATCAACAATTCCTTTAAATGTAAATGGATTAAATGCTCCAATCAAAAGACATAGGGTGACTGAATGGATAAGAAAATAAGACCCTTACATATGCTGCCTACAAGAGACTCACTTCAGATCAAAAGACAAACACAGACTGAAAGTAAAAGAATGTAAAAAGATATTTCATGAAAATGGAAATGAGAAAAAAAAAAAAGCTGGGGTAGCAATACTTGTACCAGACATAATAGACTTTAAAACAAAGGCCATAACAAAAGACTGTGAAGGACCCAGTAATCCCACTTCTGAGTATTTATCTGAAGAAACCCAAAGCACTACTTCAAAGGGAAATGTGAATTCATATGTTTATTGCAGCATTATTTACAACAGTCAAGATACGGAGGCAACCTTGGTGTGTGTTCATCAATGGATGGATGAATGGATGAAGAAAAGGTAGTACATATCTACAAAAGAATATTACTCAGCCATAAAAAAGAATGAAATCTTGCCATCTGCAACAACATAAATAGACCCAGAAGGTATTGTCCTGAGTGAAGTAAGTCAGAGACAAGTGCCACATGACTTCACTTATATATGGACTCTAAGAACAAAATAAGTGAACAAAACGAAACAAACTCATAGGTACAGAGGACATTTTGATAGATGCCAGAAGGGAACGGGGTTGGGGAAATGGAGAAAAAGGAGAAGTGATTAAGAAGTACAAATTGGTAGTTACAAAATAGTCATGGGAATGTAAAGTACAGCTAAGGAATATAGTCATTAATATTGTAATAACTATATGTGGTGTCAGATGGTTACTGGATTTATGGGGGTGATCACTTTGTAAGTGGTATAAATGTCTAATCACTGTGTTGTACATCTGAAACTAATATAATATTGTATGTTAACTGTAATTGAAAAATAAAAATATTTACATATTGGGGTGACATTGGTTAATAAAATTATATAGGTGTCAAGTGTACAGTTCAATAATACATCATCAATAATACTCATTGCATTGAGTGTTCACCACCTAATGTCAAATCTTTCATTACTATATATTTGATCCCCTTTGCACTTTTATACCTCTCCCTTCCCCATTTTCCTTCTGGTAACCACTAAACTGTTGTCTGTGCCTATGAGTTTTTGTTCGTTTTTTTTTTTCCTTCATTTGTTGCTTCCAGTTTTATATCCCACAAATGAGTGAAATCATGTGGTTCTCAAGTTTTTCTGTTTGACTTCACTTAGCATGATCTCAAGATCCTTCCATGTTGTCGCAAATGGCAGTATTTTATCTTTTTTTATGGCTGAGTAAAACTTCTGCACAGCAAAAGAAATCATCAACAAAACAAAGAGGGAACCAACTGAGTAGGAGGTGATATTTGTAAACAATACATCTTATAAGGTGCTAATATCCAAAAAATATTATAAAGAAATCATGTAACTCAACAACAGAAAAACAAAAAATCCAATTAAAAATTGGGCAGAGGACCTGAACAGACAATTTTCTGAAAAAGATACAGATATGGCCAACAAACATGTGAAAAGATACTCAACTTCACTAACTATTGGGGAAATGCAAATCAAAACTACAATGAGATACCACCTCACACCTGTTAGAATGGCTATCATCAACAAGACATGTAATAACAAGTGTTGGAGAGGTTGTAGGAAAAAAGGAACCCTCATACATTGCTGGATGATTGGATAAAGCAGGTGTAGTACATATATCCAATAAAAATTATTTTTAAAAAAATGGGTAATAAAAAATTAAAAAGTGTATCATTTGTTAAGTGGAAAAAATTGAAATTATGTAATAAACATTACTAAATACTTTTTAAAAGACCTAGATTCATTGTTAATGAACTTTGTAACTTTGGGAAAATATCTCAGGTGTTCCAAGTCTCATCTTAATTTTTCATCTGCGAAATTAATGCATTCATTGGAGTGTTGAGTACTTCTTCATGTTCACCCCTCATACAGAAATATTTCTTAAAGCTAATACTAAAAAGGCAAATGCATTTTGCCTTTACATTTTTATTTACATTTTTGAAATTATTACATGGAATCAAAACCTTTATGTGTAGATATGTAAGGGGATTCTTTACCATTAAGAAGTTCATATAAATATGCATAATGCTACAGCTGGCTAGTGTTCTCATTAACATTGGTATCTGTACTCAGTGATATGCTGGTAAATATTGAAAAACTAGCTCTCAAAAAAACAGAAGGGAGGGAGGGAGGAAAGAAGGAAAGAGGAAAGGAAAGGAAGAAAGACAAGAAAAGAGAAAGGCAAAGACAAAAAAAATAAGCCTGATTGGTAGCATTCGTAAACTTCTATGGTGTAAATGCTCTCACAGTGGCCAGTTCAAGCTACCAACATGATGTCACTGAACATGGAGTTGGGAAGAGTTGTGACAGTTGGCTGCAACTGGCTGTCCTAGTAGGTCTTTTAAAATCTATATTCGATTCATTGGGAAAAGTTCCCAGTTGTACAATTATTATTTATATAGCCATTTAAAATACCTGTATAGGTCTGCATTTTGGTTATTTTGTGGAAAAATTATTCAGAATAGAGAAGTTATTTTTAAATTGCATTATATTTTCTGGCCCAATTATGAAAATTCCTTTTTCCTCAGATAAGTTTGGTGTGCACAAAAAGATATGGCCCTGTGTAGTATATTTACAAGCTGTATGTTTCAAAGGAAAGTCTGAAATTGGTAATTGGAAATGTCTTTTAAGGGGCTCTATAGTGATCTGAGCTTGTGTGGAGTTAAAGGGAGTTTTCTCTTTTCATTTTAGGCATTTTTGTTGCCTTCCTGTGACATAGCTGTAACAAGGAAAGTAGTTCAAGTATACAGAAAGTGGATCCTCCAGGACAAACCTGTGTTCATGGAAGAACCAGATAAAAAAGAAGTTGCCCAAGAAGATGCTGAAAAATTAGGATTTTCAGAGACTGACTTCAAGGAGGTAATATTTTATCTCTTGTTTCAGTTGGGAGTATATATATTTTAGCAAAGTATACTTAGTCAAGGATCCCATTCAGTGGGACACAGGCAGTATCATCTTCAATACTCTTGAGTTGCTGAGTTCCCCGAGGACCTGCCTCAGTGAGGCTGCTTCTGTGCTGTATTTAAGATCATTGGTGGGCCATCTCCTAACTCTCAGGCTAGGTCCACATGTGCATTGCAGCTTCATTCAGCATTGCACAAGAGTTGTTTAATAAACTAACATATTTTAGATATCTCTGTGTGAGCATAAAAATGTCACTGCCTTATCATTGACACGTTTAAATAAATAGTATTTGAAAAACTAAATTTAGAATATTTTGGCAATCTTTTCTTGTGTAGTGTCCTGTTTCAGAAGCAGTCAGGATGTTACAGACTTGAAAGAACTAAGTAATGAGGGTTATCTCCACCATAAGTAAGCTTAACTGTGGGGCTGAGTGCTGTCTTCAGAGAGTGGATGCTGTCAGAAAGGACCTCTTAGTCTGTGTTTGATAAAGCTACAGGCTTGATTAATCTAAAATGGCAGAGTGAGACCTCTTCCTGAAACACAGAAGAAACAAGTTACATTTATATTTCTGGCATGCTATTTTGAAATCTAGTCTGAGAAATACTAAAAGTAGGTGTTTGTCATAGCAATTAATGACTAACATTTAAAAATATTTGTAACCAAAGGCATATCACTTTTAAATATCTGTATTACATAATTTTGATTTTTTAATATTGGCAAAATCATTTTAATAACTAGTCAGGAGGTCAGAATGAATAGATAAGCAAATAGAATTAATCACACATTTTAAAGGTCTGTATTACACACTCATTCAGTCACTGGATGTTTATTTCTTCAGCTCGTACTAAATGACGGGCACTATTTTAAGTGTTGGAGGTAGAGTGGTGAACAAAGTGGAAAAAAGATTTGCCCTCCTAGAACCTATATTTAACATAAGGAATTAAATATGTAAACAAGTGCTTCTTCACTCTCTGTTAACTGGCTATTATTTTCTAAAGACTGCATCTGAAAGTTCTGGTCATAAACGATCGTCCAGTTGGGGACGAACATACTCCTTCACCAGTGCTGTGAGCAGAGGGTGTGTGACAGAAGAGGAAAATAAGAATGTGAAAGCCGGGGCCCAGGCTATGCTACAGGTATGAGGCCTGTGGGCCAGAGACATAGTAGTCTCCAGTTGGAGTCAATTTAAACATTTGTTTACTTGAATAACATATAAAGTGTGATATTTTTAGCTGTCTGTCAGTAAACAGTTCTTAAATTCTCTTTTAAGTTTTCTTCCTGATGTCTCACTTTAAATTTGTAAAGATTTTTTTCTAATCAAAGGAGATATATGAGCTACTTGCAGTTTTTTTAGAAGGATTATTATACAGTGAATGTGAAATGACTGAGATTTAAATCTTAAAAGTATCTTCTGAACTCATATGGGTAATTAGTTACCTAGACTATAATTTGTAAGAGAAGTGTGATTGATTATATAATCTTATAAGTAATATTCCTTTTAAAATTGCCTGTGTTTGTGAAGAATGATAGTTAATCCAATAATTTTTAGATATTTATCTGAATGAATTTTTGAAATACCACTTGGGAACATGGGAAAGAACAACTTTGGTTCATCATTTAATCTCCCAGACTTCAAAATTTTATCTCAAAAGTGGGGATTGGGAAATTACCTTTTGGTCCCATCCAGCATGAAAGTTGTTTGGCATCTGGGTGAAAACACAGGGTGCTTCTCCTTCCCATGCTACCTAGCAACCCACCCTTCATCTCATCTCTGAGTTTATAGTTGGGTCCAGTGAGACCTCCCACAGAGAGGACAGGCATGGAGTCTGGGGATGGCATGGGCATGGCATGCATGTTCCCAGTTTTCAATGACACTATGTTTCTATCATCTGTCTCTTGATAAGATTTCTTATCATGGAACCCTTTTTGTTTTCAGGTTAATCAGCAGTGTAATACACCATAAGTCGAGAGTTTTCTCATTTATTAATGAAAATCAGCAAATGATTTGAAATTAACTTAAAAAAAATTAAGGTGATTTTACTTGAGTATCTTCAGAGAACTTTGGTTCAGCTCATAAATATACCCCAAATCCCTACCAAAAAATGCTTTCAGGAATCCTTGCCTTGAGTCCCTCGGCAGCCCCTTCTTCCAGGTGGATGCTATATTGCCATCATCAGCCTCCAGTGTCAGTTGGTGGAGGTTGTGGGTGCCAGTTATCCCCCTGGGTTCAGAAGAGTGTTATTTGTTTTCTGAAAGGATAGGTTACATCTAGTTGGCTGAAGCAAGAAAAAATTTTTCTACCTGATTTTAGTGCTATACTTTTAAAAAATATTTAGTTTGGATTCAAATAGTTGTTTTTGTTCTCATTGTACCAGTTCCTTGGCCTTTTGCTTTGTTCATTGGTGAATAGCGCCCAAATGGAGATTTGATGAGGCAATACTCTTCTATAGTTGCTTTTGACAAGTACAATGTAGACTTATTTTGTTTTTACCTTGATTAATACTAACGTGGTCGTAAGAAGTATTCATGTAGTTGGCATTTTGCTGTTTGTTTTTTTTAAAGTAAAATGAAAGAAGTATAATATATGAAGATTCCTTACTTTTACATGGGAACATACAAAGATCTCAAATTCAAATCAAAAAGCCAAATATATTGAATTATAAAGGATCTATATTGCAATATATCATCTGAGGCATACTTTAAAGAACTTAGTCACTGAAACTGCTCTGGTTTGTTAGTCAAATGTTCTTTGTTTTCTTTTTTCTTTCTTCATCATTGCTGTTATTGTTTATCAACTATTATAGTGCTTATTTAGTGATTTCTTCCTGGAAAATTGGAACATGATGCCTTTTTAATATTGCATAAGATCATCCTAGGGGCTGTCAACATTTTAGTTCACCCACTTGACTTTTGAATATTTTTATTTCTTCGGTCAGTTCGTACATCTGTTTGAGATGTTGTATTAATGGATTTCATCTACAGGTGAGCCAGAGAAGTTCTGTGTGTTCTCAGATCATCTGAGTTTGTACTGTTGAACACAAAGGAGTTAAGAGGGAATATAACTCTAGATAGATGGAGCAGATCTGTTCCCACCTCAATTGACAACTGAGACAAAGTAAGGGGTTGTGAGGGTCATCTGTCTAAATGGATAGCCTGGGTCAGTGCTTCTCACAATTTTCTACTGAAATACCCCTGATAGTAGAGGACTATAACTTTGTATACTAAAGGTTTGAGACAGAGCCTAAATTTTTTTTTGAAATCCATTTCTAAAGAATTCGCTTAGGTTTTTTCTTCTACTGCCCAATGTAGTTCTCATATTTAAAATATATGCTCCTGGGATATGTGTAATGTTAATCATGTGGCTTTGGCTATTTCCTGGCATTTCACCACTCCTAAGGTCCACACCCTTGTTGAGTGATTCTGGGCGTGCTTCCTGTCACCAAGTTGTTCACGTACTGGGAGATTCAACAATAATAAGATAGTCCTTTTGAACCACTTTCTATCGTTTTTCTCTCTTTTCTTTTTTTTTTTATGAGATGTCAAAAAGAAGTCTTCAAAAGCTTTTCTAATTCATAGCATTTCTAAGTTCCAATAGTAATATGTAAGAGTAATTTTTTTTAGGAAAGGTCTTTCAGGTGTTTCAGTATTTAGGTAATTCTAAGAAGTAAACAAAAAAAGTCTTGAGTATGTGTTGGTACTACTTACCTTAAATGAACTAACTCAAAGGTGATTCATTGGTATAGTAATATTATCCTTAAGCAAAATTTATTCAGATTTATATATTTAAAATATTTTCTAATGTAAAATTTGTCTGTTGTAAGGTATTTCTGACAAATGCTGCAAATGTCTTTTTGCTGGAACCATGTGCTGAAGTTCCCATGCTCTTGAAAGAACAAGTTGATGCTTGTAAAGCTGTTTTGATTATTTTTAGGCGCATGATAATGGAGCTTACAATGAATAAAAAGACATGGTAAGATTATTTCAAATTAATTAATATAAAAAAGATGTTTCTGTTTCTCAACATAATTAAATGTTACAGCCTCCACTTATATGGCTTTACAGAGTTAATAGTAAGAGATAATCAGTCTTTTATAACAGTTTCTGTGACTTATGAAGAAATTAAGTATCTATTACTTTGGTAATTCATTTATTTTCATTACTGATTTTAAAAATGTTCTTGAATTAAGAGTAAATGGACTTATTACTTTAATATTAGATTTCTCCAATTTAAACTGACATCAGTTTTGTGGAAAAGCAATATAACTGATATTTTATAATACCATTCTTCATAAGCCCAGGAGAGTTTGTAAGTGCTCCAAAATGCTGTTAACTGACTTGTATTGCTTCAAACGAAGTTTTAAATTGATTTTGGAAAAACAATTCTTTTAAAGGATAAATTGTCAGAGCAATGAACAAATAGTGTAGTCTAAAATATAATGGCGTTGTTAAAATATACTTATGCAAAGTGTTTTTATTTTCATTTTTTGTTTTTGTTTGGTCTTTCTGTAATATCCCTAAAGGTAAACAATGCATTAGGTTTTATCCTCATGCCCTTCTCCCATAATGAATGTCTTCACATCACTCCAGTTTCTGAGATGTTTTCAGAGGTTCAAAGCCATAGACCAGAGCGCCTCAGAGCTACTTTCCACTGCTCTTCCTTAATGCATCAGAAAGGCAGCCTCTCATTTCTGCTTTAAAATGTTTCTTTAGTCCACCCTTTACATGTTCCTCCGCCACAGCCACCGTCTTCAAGCAGACAAACTGTCCTCGCTGCTTGCCTGGCAGTGGTTAGCACTCCTCTCAGTGTTCCTTGGCCTCAGCTCTCAGTCCACTATGGCCACTGCAGACCAGCACTGATGGCATACTTACCTCCTGGAAATTCTTGGGAGTCTTTGTTACCAGGCCTTTGGTCTGGATGTCCTTTCTGGACAAAGGGTGCTTTGGAAGGGTCTGTCTGCAGGTAGCAAAAACCATATAAATGAGCAGGACTGAGCTGGCAGAGGCCTTTGGGGCCACTGAATTCAGCCCTTTCTTTCTCAGATGAGAGAAGTATAGGCCCACAGGAATTCTGAACTGCAGAAAGTTTACTAATACAGAAACTTCAGGTATCACAATAATTATTTTAAGACACAAATTCCACTGTCATCTTTCCCAGCACTGTTTGCCAAGAAGCAGTTGTTAAAGTTGGAAATATTAGAGTGGTGAACAAAATGATTTAAACAGATACTGTGTCAGTAATACTGAAAATGATGAGAACTGCTGGTATGCTTTCAACTGAAATATCTATTCCTTGATGCCACAGTTATAGCAATAATATTTTTGATGGTTTTTTTTTTTCCTTTTAAAACTATGAGTTCAATATACTGCTGGTATGTTGATATTTTTTATATTTTTTTGTGGAAATTTTAAGAAATAAAATTAAGCAGTTCTTTGTTCTTTAACAATTCAGAAATGTCCAGGTAAAAGTATAAAAAAAAATTATAAAAATAGATGAAAATACTCACCAAGATATAGTCAATAGAGCATAGAAAGGGATATGACCTGTTTCCCTAGAAGATTTTCTTACATATTTTAGTACCAGACAATCTATGAATTCCCTTTTTTCCTTCCCTTTTTTCCCCTCCACTCCCTTCCTCCTTTCTTTCATCCAGTAAAGAACTGTCAGGCTTCTGCTATGAGAATATAGGATAAACTAGACAGATACTATTCCTACCCTCATGAGGTTTCCATTCACATAGACAGACAAAATGAACACAGAAGCAATTTCAGTACTATTAAGTGCTAAGAAGTACAAGAAAGCTGGGGAAAGGGACAGTGTGGAGAGCACAGGAATTTTTTTCATCAGTTATCAGGGAAGGCCTTCCTGAACAGAGCCCTGAGGGAAGGAAGGAATGAGCCATGGGGAGGTCTGAAGGAAGAGCATTCCTGGTAGAAGGAACAGCAAGTCACAAGCACAGTATGTTCCAGGCAGGACAAGATGGCAGCCAATGTAGTGGAGCAGACAGAGGAAGAGGGATAGTGGGAGGGGATGAGACGGGGCCAGCTCTGGCCAGAGCCAGATTGCACAGGGCCTTGCAGGACACAGGAAGGACATTAGCTACCTCTCTGTGTGCAACACAAATCTGATTTATGCTTCCAAAATATCTCTCTGACTGCCATGTGTAGAAGAAACAGTGCAATGGGTGGATCACAAGGTCTGTGGCCTTAAACAGTGGTGGTTTAGCCCAGGGCTGTAGCCAGGAAAGTGCTAAGAAATGGTCCCAAAATGGTGAATACGGGTGTGTGAATGAGGACCAATACTATCTGTGTGAAATCATGATAATAGAGTAAATAATAAAGTGCAGGAAAACCTTATTCCTCTGCCAACAAAAAGATAGCTTATGGGCATAATTTCATGTGCTTTGATAGAAGTTTGTTACACTCTTTGAGCAGTTCTCTTTTAACAAAGATGACAAAAAGTCAGTGTTTCACAAAATAGAAGGGAACAAGCTGAAGTCAAACTGTTAGGAAAGATTTTTCCAAACTCGAGATAATTTTTCATCCTCTTTTTCTTCCAGAAGACTCTGCAAAGGAATTTCATGGATTTCTAAGCTTTCATAGGTTCAGAAATTAAATTAATCCTGTGTCTTTGTCAGTCATTGCTTCGATCAAGTTTGCATTTTTTTATACCTGTTCTCATGACTGAGGTCTTATTTGAAATTATTATTTCTCTTGTTCTCATCATGTCCACAAGATGGGTATATAACTATTGATGTGAAAGGAGTCTTTTTTTCATTGTCTTAAGCATCATAATATGAGCAGGCAGTGGCGACACTGGGGGCTGCCCTTCCTCTGACTGTGAAGGGGCCTGGGGACCCTGAATGTGGTGAGAAACAGGCTATCCTCAGCTCTGTGCCATTTCTTCCCACCCTCTCTTCTTTTCATTCACTGCCCACTCCATGCACACTTGCCCAGATATCCTGTGACTTGATAGCTCTTCTTATTCTGTGCTCCAGAATCCATAGGCAGTGCATAGGACAAGCAAACAGGTAGACCAGAATGCTGTGAGAATTTTGCCAACAGATAACCCCAGGATGAAAATCCAGTGGGGTCAGCTGCAAATAAGGCAGGAAGTCTCTAGAGGTCATTAACCATGAGAAGTTTAATGAGATTCAGTATCTTGTTACGAAAAAATACCATCTCAATATGCAAAAGTAGGAGAAAAGTATAAAGGAACTATGATTTAGAGATCTCATTATCTGACTTGGACTAGATGACTTTGTCCAGTTCTCTATTTTATCACTAAAAAGCAGTAAAACCAAGGAGAAAGTTATAAAGATAAGTGAATGGTTAGGATGATTTCCTTCAGAGAACAAATAGACCTCCCTTATATACAAAAGAGAACGTGTTATCAGTTTCTGTGGGATTCAGGAAAAGAAGAAATGAGCAGACACTCTGCTATGAAGAGTGTAACTTAGCCATAAGAAAGAAAAATACCTTGTGGCTGTTCTAAAGAACTTATTACTATTATAATTAATAGTGTTATTTTGTCTCTTTAGTGCTTTATAATCTTCAAAGGCCTTTTACATTAAAAGACCCTTCTGTGAGGGACACTGTAACTGAGATATCATGATTTCCATGGTAGAGAATCAGGATCTTCCAGGCACAAAGCTCCATGCCTCACAGTGACCAACAGTTACCTTTCCAAACCTTCCTACCGATGAGAGTACTGTGGAGTTCAGTCATACTATGGTGTTGACTGCATATCTCCCCAGAATAAAGATCAGAATGTTGGTTTTGTTTTCTGTCACAAAGATAGATAGGGAGATTGTACAGGTTAAGTAAAATAATGGATGTGAAAATTAAAGAGTGCTGCATAAGGTCAAATAGATACATCTGTTCACTGAGTGCCCACCGCAGTTGTAGAGACAATCTTGTCTTTTTGCAGGGGGAGAAAAATCAGGCTAGGATGATACCTGTTTTATCCTGCCGATTGATGTGGACATAGGAGGCATATTTTTAGAACTGTTGTAACATAAGGTAGCTCATTTTGGTAAAATATGGTATTTATTATGTAATGGGCATTCAGATTTTTAATACTTTTGAGTAATACATGTTTATTGATGTTGCTGAATTCCTAAGAGAATTCCTCATATGTATAACTTAAAGTGATTTGGAGATGTGATTAATAATATGAGCTTTTATTTTGGGTGGCCCAGGGAACAGATGTTGCAAATACTACTCAGGATAACAGAAGCTGTCATGCAGAAGCCAAAGGATAAACAAATAAAGGACTTATTTGCCCAGAGCTTGGCAGGGTTACTGTTTAGGGTAAGTCTTTTTCATTAAAACACTGCAAATGCAAAAAATGAATCAGATTTTACAGCAAATTAATTTTAATCACTGAGAAATTTAAGAGTAAAATTAAACTAACTTTAAATTTCTAGAACTTTAATTAGAAATTTTACTTATTAGCTTTGTCTTGAAAGTTGTAATCTCTTCTTTACAATTAGTTTAAAGCTTTTTTAGGCCTTCCTGCCTGTCTGCCATCTACTTCTTCTTTCGATTTGCTCGAGGTTGGTAGAGATTAAGAAAATGATAACAGCTGATGGCCTTGAGCTGCGGGCCAGGTGGAACTGAAGTGGTAAAGGATGATCAGCAGCATGGGAATGGGAATAAAGTCAGGGAGCAGTTCAGGCTAGAAATAAAAGGAGCCATTGGTGTGTTGGGCAATTGTATTTAAAGCCACAAGACCAGATAGGCTAACCTAGGGAGAAAATATGTGTCATAGGGCCAGTTCCATGAGTGGCAAAGGGGAGGAGCCAGCCGAAGATG